GGAACGCGTACCCTAGGAAGAACGTCGGCAGATATGGTTTCGTGCTTTTTGACGCTAGCTTCGACCTGGGCGGCGGTTTTTCCGAAGTCGAAGTCCTGAAGAACAGCCATCATTTCGCTGAGCCAGCATTCGCGCAGTTTCGCCTTTCGCGCGAACTTGCTCGCCAGCTGTTCCAAGTGTTCCTGTCTAAACAAACGTTCAATGATTAATCTGTTAATAACTTCCATCAATCAATAAAAATAGAACATGAATCAAAGGTTCGAAATAAGAAAATAAAATAACGATAAACTGAGCATTTAGTTTTTACTATCAGTCAGTCAGTCAGTCAGTCAGTCAGTCAGTCAGTCAGTCAGTCAGTCAGTCAGTCAGTCAGTCAGTCACTGCATCAGTCAGTCAGTGAGTCAGTCAGTCAGTCAGTCAGTCAGTCATTCAGTCACTCAGTCACTCAGTCAGTACTAAGTCAGTCAGTCAGTCAGTTAGTCAGTCAGTCAGTCAGTCAGTCAGTCAGAACGTCAATCAGTCAGTCACTCGTAGTCAGTCAGTCAGTCAGTCAGTTAGTCAGTCAGTCAATCAGTCAGTCAGTCAGTCAGTCAGTCAGTCCTGTCAGTCAGTCAGTCAGTCAGTCAGTCAGTCAGTCAGTCAGTCAGTCAGTCAGTCAGTCAGTCAGTTGGTCAGTCAGTCAGTCAGTCAGTCAGTCAGTCAGTCAGTCAGTCAGTCAGTCAGTCAGTCAGTCAGTCGGTCTCAGTCAGTCAGTCAGTCAGTCAGTCAGTCAGTCAGTCAGTCAGTCAGTCAGTCAGTCAGTCAGACGATGATCGCTCTTTCCGGGTCGAAAAAGCATACGAGTCATACAGAGTGTCCAGATTTTGATCAGCGTTTTAGCTTTGGCATAAGATGGAGCAGAATCCTTCAACGTACATGCCTGACGTAATTTTTGGCCGTTCCCGAGGTCTTTAGTCAGTCAGCTCGGCAATTAGTAGATGCTTACAATATTTACTGATAATAAGAAGCTAGAAATTCTCATGCGAATTAAATGGTTCTCGTCTTTTAGTTAAACAACAAATTTAACGTGCTGAAAAATCAAAACACTTAAACATGGCGTAAACAACCTAAAACTTTGCAACTTTTCAGTCGTTA